ACAGCACGAGCTAAATCTCTAAATGAGGCCAACGCACAGGAAATAGGGGCAGGACAAGAGCAAAGTTTAACTTAAATCCAGGACACAGCTTTTGAAACCAGTAGTGTTTGTTGGTGTCACCTGTACATACATGTTCAGCCACCCCAGACACTCTTTTCATGCGCTGTTACTTTTAAATTGATGGATCTGTAGTAAAAATATTCACTCTCTTAATTCCAGACTAGATGGGTATCCGCAGGAATAAGTTTCTGTTTACTGGGAAGCCTTTCCTCCCGAGATCTAAATGTCTGTAAGAACAGTGCAGCGGCTGTAATGTTCCCCTGCTGGCTGCCAGGCCTGGATTTCATTTGAACCCTTTTGCTCTTTCTCTATTTCCTGGGGTAGGGGGTCAAGGTTACCCCACGGAGATGCTAAGCGCTTCCTCTTCCTTTGGACTTCCTGCAAAGACAGGCTGATGGCTTCTGCTGAAACCACCACAATACCTATACTTGGGTTTCTAGCAGGCTTTAGCTTTCTAGCAGGCTTTAGCTTTTATGTCTTGTCTCCGTATGGGGGTCTCCCCTCCTTCACGGGCTGGACACTCAGGGTGGACCAGGATGGGTGCCTGGGGAGCATGGCTTCCTGAGCTCCATGCAGCTCCTGCTGCCCTTTGGGAGATAGGTCAAAAAAAGCACAAAAGTAAGAAAGAAGAGTCACAATGATATCTTCTATAACCTTTGCCGATTCCCTCTCCCTTTCCTCCCTCCTTCCCTTCCTAGATTCAACACATGCCAACGTCTTCAGGAATGAGTCTTATTCTCTTAGATTATTTATTTATTATGTGTGGTGAGAGTCCTCCCGGTTGTGTTACATCACGTACTTCTTCCGTTCCTGTGTCTGAATGGGTTTTCCTTATTTTCATTCTCTGGCAGTTTCGTACACTAACAACTTTGGTCATTTCACTCCCCATATTCTCTCTCATTACCTTCTCTCTCCTTTTGAAATCCTTCTATCCAACAAGCCTACTTACATGGCAGTTTTTGTGACCCACTGAGTTTAATTAGGGCTGCTTGTATGAGGAGGGGCAGAGGATTATTTACATGATTTATCAATGGCTACAACACTGAAGAAAATAATGCCCTCTTCCCAGCAACCATTAACTGACAATAGTCCCCTAGGGAGGGGTGGGGGGCCCTTCTCCATTCATGATGAAGACAGAGTCTCACAATGTAGCCCAGGCTGACCATAAACTCATAGCCTTCCTGCTTCAGCCCCCCTAGTGTTGGGATCACAGGTTACTATTATGCCTGACATGATGTGGATTCTTCCTTGTACGGAAACCGTTTGCTATCACAAGTCTTTGCATTGCCTGCTGACTTCCATGTCCTATTCTTCCTTAACCCTCATTTTCTTTTCATTCACTGTCATCAGTGGAGCATTTGGCAGCAGTCGGGGTGCTCTGGGTTGCAGCATGGCCACAGGCATACCCAATTTGGTGCAACCCACTGCATGCCTTGTTCATACCTGGGGGAGATGGCTGGTCATCTGTCTACCTTTCCTTGTTTCAAAGGCCATCGGAGAGTTCATTCTGGTGGATAGTAATGTGAAGATCAAGAAGAAAGGTAATATCTACAGCCTTAATGAGGGCTATGCCAAGGACTTTGACCCTGCCGTCACTGAGTACATCCAGAGGAAAAAGTTTCCCCCAGTAAGTGAGTGGGCAGGTATTGGGTTAATGGTGTCCAGCTCTGGGAGGAGTATCCTTGTGAGGAAAAGGGGCACTTGGCATTAAGAAGGGCCCTGACCTTACTTGGGACCCTTGAGTTATGAGGAAATCTACTGATGTGTGTGATTTATCCTGAAGGAAGAGGGGGAAGTCACTGAGCCTAGGTAGTGGGACTGAAATGCTTTCTCAGAGATGTTAAAATGGGGTGTTATCTGGGTGTGGTGGCACACGCCTTTAATCCCAGCACTCAGGAGGCAGAGGCAGGCGGATCTCTGTGAGTTCAAGGCCA